CTCACTCTAGCCCGGGCAACAAAGCAAGACTCTGTCTCAAAAAACAAAAAAAAACCACATCAACATCTCCAAAGGTCTTGTCTAGATAAAGAGACTAATTAAACTCTAACTACAGAAAGGCTTTAAAGCTTAAGAATGTTTTCATTAAGTAGAAAGATGAAAGGAAATCTTTAAAAGGCAATAAGAAGTCAGTCAAGCTATAACTCACATACTTACTTATCATCAGCAAGGCTTGCAACATGCAGTCCATCATGACTAAAAGATACAGATCGTACCCATCGGTCATTTGCTCCTCCGGCAAATATTGGAGTAGGTGGGGGAAACAGGTGCCTGAGGTCAAATGTATGTTTTCAGTGGATATCAGAGTTACTTCAAGAAACAAAACTACCCAGGTACAAAGTACGTATCTCTTTGAATAAGATTTAAAGTATCCTTAAGGAATACAACTGAGACTGAGTAGAGCTGATATATCCAAATTATTAATCTCTTCTTCACAATGTGGTTGGTTTAAGACAGTAAGCTTAGGTCCAACTTTCGTTTTAAAATCATTTTTCCCCAACCCTTTAAATATAATTACCACTTCTACAAAGAATCAGGTATTGTTAAATAGCAAGACCTATATCAGGAGAGCCAAATTATTTATTGAATGTATACCTAAAGCTTTGCATTATTCAACAGTTTAAGTAACAAAATTTTAAATTATGATAGACGTAATTTTAGGTTTTGTATGTTAGTGATTCTAATTATTCATATAACTTCTTAAAAGCTATATTGATAGCCAGAGATGAATTATAGATGAAAATAATTCATGCTGTACCCACCCAAATTCCATCAGAATGTCTCCATTATATGGATCCCAAATATATACTCTAGTATCATAAGATGCAGTAGCCAGTAATGCTCCATCAGGAGAAAAGTCACAAGCTACAACATCATGGTGATGTCCTTCTAGTTTCCGTATCATGGTATATTTATCCATATTCCAAAGGAAAACCTGCAATAAAACGGCACATGTTATAGTTTCATTCAGACACACAGAGGATAAAATGGCACATCTTAAACTAAAACTGCTAAATTTAATTAAGATTATATTAAATTAAACATTATAAATTATGAGTAATTTAAAGAATATGCTCAGTGTCATAGATTAAAATCAGTCTTTAAGTTAATTAAAGCAGACATGCAAATTCTATTTCAAATGTTTTTCTGTTAAATGTTAATTAAAAAATAAGCCTAAACATAAAGGCAATGCAATTTAACCACAAAGTTATACTGAAATCCATTTATTCCAAAAACTAATTAACTAAAATATACAGAAATAAATAGGGTTAAATACTACAAACCCCCTTCTCTTTTTTTCCAGAAACTACCAAATTTTTAAAAAATATACAGACAGAAAACGTAAGGTTAACAAATTGTTACTCCATTGGCATCTCCCTTTGAGATAATCACTTGTTTACAATAGGCTTGGGTCACCAACGTGAGCCTAGGAAGAGAAATAGATACTGCAAGCAAAGAGAATTTTCACAGCCAAATGAAATTTTTTGGCAAACAACAAGGATGTTAAACCACATTACAAAATGAAAATGCTATTTTATGAAAATAATACAATTACAACATTTCTGTGAATCAAGATTTACCAATCTTATTTTTCCCAAACTGACCGCAATCATTAGTCATTTTAAGTATAAAACAGTTAAATTATTTAAGAACAAGTTCACATACAGTTTTAGATTCTAAAGATCAGTAGTTAGACTGTGCAGAATAGCTCCAAATAGGATTCTAATGTTTACTTCAATCTGTTATATTAAATGTGAGCTTGGAGGTTTGTAACAATCCTAGTAAGACAATGTCTCCTCCTCTTGGAGTAAAGCAATCCTTTTTGCTACTTTTTTTCTGCACAGACACAATATATTATTTGCAAAGGAAAATAAGTACAAATTTAAAGTTGGATCAAAGACTTAAGATATCTCTAGCATCTTAAAGAATTCCAAAAAATAGCACAGAGAAACCATTTGAAGGTCAATTACTTTACATTTAATTGGTTTCACTTGTCAAGACTCCCAATTCCATCAAACTGGAAGATCAATTTACTCGGAGGAGTCAGTGGATTTCACTGTGGGGAAAATTATTTTAAAAAAGAAAAAAAGAAAGAAAGAAAAGCAGAAAGTGGACATCGACCAGCACCTGTGTACGTACAGTACACCTTGCAGCCGAATGCAAGGTTACTTCATCCTATGGTAAAGGTCGCCCCCAGCCCGGTAGCCAGAGATGCCACTCTTTCTGCCCAGCTAACACCATTGTGCGCCTGTGTGCGAGTGGTGCCAGCATAACCTCAATCACACCAATATTGCTGCCACCACCTGTGACAGGGAAAGCAAGAAGCATATGGAAAACACACAGCCTAAAATAGCAATGTCAACATCTAGCTTTGTTCTTCTTATGATTTTTAAAGAACTAAACTATTTTATTCTAAACTTCTAACATTTGCAACTACCATTTTAACATACTTCTTGGCTAAATAAAATGCATTTTAACTAGCCTCCCACCCCCCATTAATTCAAAGAGTATTGTGATCATCACATGTATTTGGACTTCAACCCATTTCATAAATACCTGACACTACTGAGGCCCCTTTAACTATACTAACTCAGCTGGTAAACAGCTAAAAGAGTTCATTAATAAGCATAACCCTCTTAAGAGTCATTTTACTTTAAGCTGTCTACAGATATGCTATGTAAAACAGACAATACCAAATCTCATCTATAATTCACTCTAGGCATACACAAGTGCTATTTTTATTCTCATTAGGTTTTTAAGTTACTTTTTTCAGTTAAATGTCCAGGACCAGCTGGGACTCAAAACTTTAAAAACAGCAAACTGGACAAAAAAAAAATAGAACAACAGAGAAGAAAATAATTAGCAAGGGAATGTCTTAACATATGGACTACATCTCTTCTATAGGCACATAAACTTTTCTAGATCTTACAAAAAATAAATTTGACATACCCCCTCATTTTATGAATATTATCCCTAAAAGCAATCCAACTTCTCACTTCATAATCAATAACTATATTTATTTAATTTCCTTCATGCAAATTCTCCCCATTATGAAATTAAACATTTAAGATATTCGTGACACCGAGCAGACTTAATAGATTACTTAGATCTTAGATTTAAAATGATTATACACACATTATTATAATCCAATTCACAATGAATATACAAGAACTTTGACACATACTGCTTTACTGGCTCCAACTGAACACAGCATAGAAGAGTCAGGAGAGAATGCACAGCTGTACACCCAGTTCTGATGCCCCCTCAATACTTTCATCATGTTTCCTGAACAAGAAGAAATATCTGTTAACTCTAGAATTCATTTCAAATGAGAAGTATTTCAAAATGGCAGTCAATCACAAGATCACAAACTTTTACAGCTAAAAGCAATTTACATATAACAGGGGTTGTCAATATGCACCAGCTGCTTATTTTTGTAAATAAAATTTTACTATAACACAATCATGCCCACATGTTTATGCTCTGCTACTATGGCAGACAGCACAGTCCACAATCTTAAAATATTTAACATCTAGTCCTTTAAGAAAAAGTCTAGGACTGTTTATCTACAGAAGACAGAATTCTTTTAGTCCAATCCCATTATTCTACAAATGAAGGAACTGCAAGTTAGCAAGGTTAAGATACTTATACTTGTTGAGCATCTTCAAAATGCCTTTCATTTTTCTTACTTTTTGGTAACCTACATTTCACTCCAAAGTCCTTGTGTAATATACCCATAGCACACAACTATGCTTAAGTATATTTAACTCTTAGTTTTAAAAATACTTACTGAGTGCTTACTACGTATCAGGCACTATGCCAGCATGGAGGATATAGCTGTGAACAAGACAAAGTCCCTACTCTCTTGGATCTTACATTTTACTTAAAACATATGCATATAATCAAAATTAGGTTGAGATAAGCAAGCACCATTTGATATGCAAAGGAAAATAAAAATGTAATAATCCAACTATTTTAACTGTTGGGATCTCTTTGCCCCTCAACAGCTAAGCAATCAGAGAACTGGTAAAATGCAGAGAAGGTACTTCATGATTTGTTATATGTTAGCATATCACTTTATTAAGCAATAGTTACTACCCAACAGCTGGACTGTCTCCAAATCTGAGGGTTCTCCTTCCTACCACATTAAATTTAAGTTATATCATCCCTAGGTAAGCCCGTCAACCTCCAGCTTAAAGCTGTTAGAGCACCAGCAAATCATATTTAAATATAGGTTTTTTGTTAAAAATGTAAACTCTTTCCTCAGGGACTAAGAAGGAGGAAGAAATGCTCATCCCTGGTCCTCTCAAATAAGAAAGCCTCTCCAAAACTTTGTAAGCATCACTAATATCAAGGTTTCAGAAAAAAGTGAGCACTTGTCATTGACATTATCTTTCTATTACATTGGAGGATAAAGTTTTTA